GTGTGCTCTTCCGATCTCCCCAAAACCCCAAAACCCCAAAACCCCAAAACCCCGAGATTAAGAATCTAAATGGAAAATAGGAAAAACCAAATCAAATATAAAATTAATTTACATTATTAATGAAAGGTAACATTGATCGCACACCAAATGGAACCCAAATATCCAGTGAAGATCCAATGAAAATAAAACTAAGAAAAATAGCTGAATCAAAACTTACAGTACCTTCTCCAGAACTCATTATTAGAAAAATGTAGGAGAAATTAGATAAAAGATTGATTGAAACTAGCACAATTATAAATAACAAAGCAATAGTAATTAGATAAGACAGTGAAAGCCATTTTTAGACAAAGAAACTAAGCTTTTTGTAAAACTAATATAAAATGAAATAAAGTCAGGATTAGCAATAGCAGCAAAGTAAAGGAATTCTAAGCATACATCCTAGCTTTTACGATCAGATCCCATACTACAGGAAAATCATGAAAATACCTATGACAAAACTGAAGCATGAGTTGGAAAGTTTGCAAATATAAACTCCTGAGAATAATACCAGAGACCAAAATAATGATATCAAACACATAAACTATAACTCAATAAGTAACGGCATGAAGCCTTCTTTGAAGAACTCAACTTCTTAGTAAAGTCTTAAATTGCCAGCAATTCTAGACCAAGACTAGAAAGGTTTTTTACCTCCAATATCAAGTTCTATCGTCTAAAAAGTTTCAGCTGAGGAAAATGTTACGAAATCAATGAAGGCCTCTTTTTCAATGAGTTAAATATCAACAAATTTTGCAGGGAAATCTCAATAGCAAAGTCTAACTTACAACTACTATAACTCAAATTAATCTAACAACCATCACCTATAGTCATAACTAAATGGCTAGTCAAGAAATCAAACTTAATAATCTGTAGATCTCTAGGTTTCAGGAATGCACATAAATGGTTCCAACTTTATGACTGGAGAACCAAATTCTTAAAATAACTCATTTGAGCTAAATTAGTCATCCAGTGTTAAAAAGAACAATAGGTAATCAAGCATCACTGGAATAATCAAACCAATGAACAAAAGAAACTATAGTCAAGAAACCTCTCTTAATAGACTAAAAGATTAAACAATGGCAATAGTTCAATCATAGCCTAAGTTACTCATTTCAAACGGTAAAATGCCGTAGATCGCTCCTTCATCTACCAAGGAAATTCAATACCTTTCTCTGGATGTCCCTTTAAGAGTGAAAATTCAAAGGAAAAAGGCAAACTAAGCACTTATTAAGTGGAATGAGCAAAGGAAGTAAAGGTAGCACAATAGTCTCGCTGCCTTACAAAACGAGGATAGTAAGCTGGACATAGTAAATGATTGCATGAAAATTAACATCAAGAATGAAAAGTCCTTCTTGGATGAATCGACTTTTAAAAAAGAGGCTAAAAAAATTCAATCAGTAGCAAATATCTTTAAGACATTAAATCTATGATATGATAGGTCTAACTACAATTATTAGTTGAATATTAATGACTACCCACAGTTTTTGATTTTAAGAAGAGTTTTACGAATTATATTATAAGTTAATAATTTACAAGAAATTAACTTAATTCCTAAAATCACCTTTATTTCTGGTTTATGGGGTTTTGGGGTTTTGGGGTTTTGGGG